TCTTCTTTTTTAGGAGTTTATTATGTGAGGAAGGTCTATCCACATCACATGACCCTAGAAAACTTTGGTCAGTTTTTGAGAAGAGCTGACCACTTCTCACTAAGCAACCCAAATTCAACCTGGTCCTGTTTTTTTTCAGGCTGTGACGGTAAATGCTTTACAGATTGTGATCTAAATTGGAAAGATGCTAATTTTAGTGAAATAAATCTACTTCTTCAGAAACTTGAGCTTTGGCTGTGGAAGGTATTTTGGCCCAAATCTCTGTTTTGGCTCAAGCATTAGACATTTTGGCTTCAGTGCTCCTATAATAAGACATGAGGTGCCAGGGACAAAACTTCTACCAGACAGGGCAGAATGTCCCTGTAACAGAGAGAACTGCTTCCTTTTAGTGATACACAAAGGATAAAGAGGCTCATTCTGACTTTTGAGTTAGAATCTCCAAAACTTAAGCATTGAGCATTGTCTTTGGCAGGTCCTAGGCCTGGGATGGCATGTTCAAGAACAAGACTGGAATGGAGAGAAACATCTTTTCCCAGGTCCCACAGATGTTGTCAGCCACACAGGCTCACTGGCATCTGACTCCATGTGACAGTGTGGTCGCTTTTAGGAACTTCAAAGCATATTGGACAGCACACTTGGAGTTCGCCCACAGAATCACCCCATCGTCCTGACTGGGCCCAGAGTACAGTGGTGGCTGACTTGAGCAAGAGGCAAAGACATTTGTAATATTTTCACGCCACTTCCAATTTCTCCAAATAATTATTATTAATATTATGCTCCCTTATATTTTGCAAACTTTATAGTTTATAAAATGTTGCCATATACATTACACATTAATATTGTGAGACTATTAAACTGGTAGTATTTTTTAAATTCTACTCCATAAAGACCATGTCCTGTAGCTGTCATTCTGTCTCCATGAAATCAAGGAAATGAGGTGGGCAAATGCCACTTTGGGGAGAAGAAGAAGACAGTGAAGAGAAAAGCCTCCTCACATGAAGGGGAAGAAAGTAAAGCCTTTTGGCCTGGAAAGTGGGAAGGAGGAGAAGCAAGAAGTCAGAGCTCATATCTTGGCTTCTGCTTCCACACACATCCAGGCTGAAATGCCGGAATCCTGGGGGTAGGGTGTTAGGTTGAGGTTAAAGCCAGATACATAGGGATGTGTGCCCCAGTCCTCATTTAGGACTCTGAGAATATCCTCCATTTGGGAGGATCCAGCCAATGTGAGTGAACTCCAGCAGGAAGAGGTGGAAGGGTGGGTGTTCCCAGAGCTCCTGTGTGGTATGCTATAGAAAGAACCAGAAATAGCCACATGTCTTTGGAGGCACAGGTGGTAGTGGCTGAGCTAGAATACAGTGGACTTGTTCAGGGGTCACCCTGAAAAAGGAGAAGGGACTCTACTGATGCAGGCTATAACTGAATCTTAGAGGTTGTTGCAGCTGAAGCTGAGGTCAGGTTTAGTTAGTGAGGGAGAGCTATCAGCCCCTGATGGAGATGAAACAATCCCACAAATGAAGTGCCATATGAGTGGTTGAGACAGAGGAACACAAGAGTCTTAGAAGGACAACATTGCGGGACAGAGCAGGCAGGTGTCCCTGAAGGGAGAGGCAAAATTGGGCTAAGCCTTAAAGGTGAGATAGACCAGAATAATGAGAGATGACATTGGTACAGGAGAAAAAGACAAGTTTGTGGTAAGACTTTAATGTCAAACCAAAGAACTTAGAGTTTGTCCTAAGGGTCACATCCCAGAGTATCGTGTAGAACACTTGTTCATTGGATTATTAATAAGTGTACCATCAAAAAACAAGGGAACATCCATAGTTTAAAATTAGGGAAACAATGAATTAAACATAGTTAAGCAAGTTATCCCAGTCTCTTCAATATACTCATGTGCATTAAGAAGAATACAATGCATCAAAAACTAATGATGCACTATATGCTGGCTAACTGAACATAATAAAAAATAAAATAATAAATAATAAAAATTTAAAAATGAAGAATATAATGGGAAACACAGGCTTCATCAGAGGGAAAGGAAACAGATCAGGGGAGGCTGTCATGCACGTTAGAGTGGGAGCATCTCAGGGCAAGGACCAGGTTGCCCACTGAGAATGGAAAGACAGACACTGACTGGAAGGTCATTAACCAAGCAGAACTGCTGAGGCATGAGGTCTGAGCACTTGCAGGGTGGAGGAAGAAAGGGAAAAGCCAAATGTTCAAGCTTGAAGTAGTAGTAGTAGTAGAAGGAAGACTCCAACGTTGTTTATAGATGGGGCCGCTAGAGGGCATGCTGCTTCAGGAGTAAAAGAGACGAGTTTCAGACCTCTGTTTGAGATGGAACTGGATATCCAGGTGGCAATGTCCAGCAGACAATTAAGGACTGAAGACTAGGCTCAGGACAGAAGGCAAAGCCAGAGGTAACCTTCTCTGTACTGGCCCCAAGACCTCAAGCTACCATGGGTGTCCCTGCTGCACTGGACCTTCTCCTGGGTCTCTCAGGCAAGTCTACTCTGATCACATGTCCAGCTGGGCTGGATCTTTTCTGTTTTCTCTCCTGTGACAAGCCCTGTACCTCACTTCCTAGGACCCAATATTCCACAAAACCAGTGATTTTTCAAACTGTGGTCTTAGGGAACACTGATGTTCTGCTAGCTGGTTCTAAATGTTCCACCACCAAAAATGAGCAAATTTTCGTTTGAAAAAATAATGAGCAAGTAGCTTGACAGTTTTCAATTTTATTCTTCTTTTGTCATTTTTTTCTTAAACCTTTGGTACCTGTTAACATTAGTGTATTTGCAAGTATTAGCAGATGGCAAAATAAATGAATAAGGAGTAAATGAATATCAACCTAAATTACTCAGAACCAATTGATTATGTTTGACTTGACAGCTCTCTTTTGTGGCTATTAGTGCTCACGATTATAATTTCAGATTAAAACCTATTCTATATATGTTCATAAAATAATTTAAATAAAAACTACATATATATTCTATAGTGATCCATAAATAACCTAGAACTCAAATTGTTTCCACATGTGCAAATATTTAAGAAATTCTCCCAGAACCACAAAATTGAAATTGAAAGCATTTCGTTCACTTAATAAATTTATTGGGTATCTACCATACACTAGTGTTGTAGAGAAACTTAGTTGTAGACCTCAATTCACACTCTCCCTTCCATGGTTGTCCAAGGAAGCAGTTGCCCAATGTGGATACTCTGAGAATAGTATCCATTTCTCAGCTGCCCTTGGCCTGGCTGTGTGAACTAGTTCTTGGAAAGAAACATTGCAGAAATGATCTGTACTACTCTCAGCCCTTCCCCATAAAAATTTCCATGCATGATGCTCCATGTTCTTTTCCCATCTAATGGCTGGATCTTGACACTTTGGGCATCCTTGAAAGCCAAGAGCTGAAGGTGGCAGAGCGCCCATCAGACTGGTGATTGCTCAACTGCATGTAAAAGACTCCCCTCTTCCTGATGGCCAGAAACCCACTCAGGTACCAATTAACTGGGTTAAAAATAAATTTTCAATGTGTTAAGTTCCTGGCATTTTGTGGTTTATTGTAATAGTATCCAAACAATACCATGGGTGAATCTCAGATGCCTCTTATAGGTGAAAGAAGGCAAATTCAAAAGGCTACATGCTCTATAATTCCACTTACATGACATCTGTGATAGGCAAATCACTAGGTACAGAAAACTGATCAGTGTTTGCCAGAGGCTGGGGATAGAGGGAGATGTTGACTACAAAGGAGCAGGAAGGAATTTTGGAGGTTGATGGAAATGTTCTATATCTGGTATTAACAGTGGTTACATGGCAATAAGCATTTGTCAAAACTCACAGAAATGTTCACTTAAATGAGTGAATTTTACTTATTATAACTCAATTTTTTTAAAGTGGTTATTTTCTTATTTTTCATTATGTTCAGTTAGCCGACAAATTGTATGCATTTTTTTTTTAAGAGAAAAGGGAAAAATGCACCATGCAAACACTAATCGAAATCTGAATCAGCTGCAGGCACACCCCTGCTTATTGTACTTCACTTTATTGTGCCTCACAAATACTGCCGATTTTTTACAAATTGGATGTTTGTGGCAACCTTACATAACCTTACATTGGGCAAGTCTATTGGCATTATTTTCTAACACCATTTGCTCACTTCATGTCTCTGTGTCACATTTTGGTACTTCTTGCAATGTTTCAAGCTTTTTCATCTTTTTTCCAAATAAGTTCTTCCATCTTTATTTTTGTAAAAAAAACCCAAAGAGAACAGAGTCACCACCAAGCATGGGACAACTTACCAGGCAAAGTCTTGACTCCCTCCCTCCTTCATGTCAGGGAAGCAGTCAGTTTTGTTAGCTTTTTCCAAAGGGATTACTATAAACAAGGGCTTGGATGAGGGAGGGAAACTTGGCCAGATTTTTCATCACTGAGAAATTGCTTAAAACCCATTGCTTTAAATAACTGGTATGTTTGAAATGCAGGAAAAGAAGATCGTGCTTCATAACCCTCTTTCCACAAATGTCTCCCTAGAAGCAGCCTGTTGGCTTGGGGGAGGGTCAAATCAGAATTGTGTTTTAGGGAATCAGACAGGATCCAAGAGCATGCTCTGCAGTTCGGACACAAAGACTAAGATAAACACACGTGGTTTGTTAGGCTTTTTCTGTGGTGGGTCAGGGGCTGCAGGTCTGGAGTCCTTGTTAGTGTATTTAGTGTTGGTGAGAAGTCTGGGCCCCAGCCTTTGTCTACTAAAGACAAAGCAGAGACACTGAAAGCCCTGTATACCCCCTCACCTTCCACTAAATGTGGGGGATAGGCAGGCGCTGTCAGCCATTGGCCTCTTTCCAGCCCATGTGCACACAGACTTGTGCCAAACCAGAGGAGGGATCCTGATGCCTTAGGAGTGCTGGGTGAGCAGGAGTCTGATGAGCAGAGCAGAGCAAGTTTAGTCCCTTCCAGGCCGACCCTGGCTTATGGGCCGGCCCACAATGGGACCTGGCTATGGCAGGGTCTGGGTGTAGCCACCAGCCAGGTGACTGGTGGCTGCATTTCTGCCCATGCCCTGCCAGGCCTGGAAGCTGAAGAAAGCACTCACTCCATGGGCAATCATCACTAAACGTGCGAAGAAAGAGGGAACTGTACAATGGTTATTCAGCAGGGTGCCCTTCAGGAACCTCAGCTCAAGGACAGCAGAGCAGGTGTTGAAGGCCGTAATGTCAAGAATGGTGGTGCCCACATTAAATATCTTTAACACCAGCGGCCGGGGCACCATATACAACCTCACATGCAGCTGAAACAGGCAGAGGATGTAGAAGACAATTGTCACCAGCCAGAGGAAGACAGCAATGAACATGACCCAGCCATAGGCCAGGTACAGGTGGTACCGTTGGGCAATCAGGGCCCACACCAGCCGCCCCAGCACCTGCTGCAGCAGTGCAAGTACATGGAGCCTGGAGCAGAGGAAGCCCAGGTCCGGGCGCAGTGGGGAGACTGAGGCGCCTGCCCCCTGCCAGGGGCAGCTGCTCTGTGTGCTCATTTTCGTTGCGAACTCAGCCTTGGGGCTCCACTCACCTCCTGTCCTGGCTCCAGCCGCTGCCACTGCCCCTCCCCTGGTGGGTGCCAGTTGCTGCACAGCTCCTCCCTGGGGGGCTCTGGCTCCCACTAGGCCTCCTTACACAGTGAAACAGCCAAACTGTTTCATTACTATTATATTTGTTATGGTGATCTGTGATCAGTGGTTATAACTTGCTGAAAGTTCAGATGATGGTTAACATTTTGTAGCAACAAAGTGTTTTTTTTTCTGCTGCTTAACTTTCCCCCCTTTATTTATTTATCTATCTATCTATCTATCTATCTATCTATCTATCTATCTATCTATCTATCTATCTATCTATTTGATGTAGTGTTCCATGATTCACTGTTTGTGTATAATACCCAGTGCTCCATGCAGAACGTGCCCTCCTTAATACCCGTCACCAGGCTAACCCATCCCCCCACCCCCCTCCCCTCTAGAACCGTCAGTTTGTTTCTCAGAGTCCGTAGTCTCTCATGGTTTGTCTTCCCCTCAGATTTACCCCCCTTCATTTTTCCCTTCCTGCTATCTCCTTCTTCTTTTTTTTTTTTTTTAACATATAATGTATTATTTGTTTCAGAGATACAGATCTGTGATTCAAGTCTTACACAATTCACAGCAGTCACCATAACACATACCCTCCCCAATGTCCATCACCCAGCCACCCCATCCCTCCCACCCCCCACCACTCCAGCAACCCTCAGTTTGTTTCGTGAGATTAAGAATTCCTCATATAAGTGAGATCATATGATACATGTTTTTCTCTGATAGACTTATTTCACGTAGCATAATACCCTTTAGTTCCATCCACGTCGTTGCAAATGGCAAGATTTCGTTTTGTTTTTGATGGCTGCATAATATTTCATTGTATATATATACCACCTCTTCTTTATCCATTCATCTGTTGATGGACATCTTGGCTCTTTCCATAATATGGCTATTGTGGACATTGCTGCTATAAACATTGGGGTGCACGTACCCCTTCGGATCACTATATTTGCATCTTTGGGGTAAATACACAGTAGTGCAATTGCTGGATTGTATGGTAGCTCTATTTTCAACTTTTTGGGGAACCTTCATATTATTTTCCAGAGTGGCTGCATCAGCTTGCATTCCCACCAACAGTGTAGGAAGGTTCCCCTTTCTCCGTATCCCCACCAACATCTGTCGTTTCCTGACTTGTTAATTTTAGCCATTCTGACTGGTGTGAGGTGGTATCTCATTGAGGTTCTGATTTGGATTTCCCTGATGCCGAGCGATGTTGAGCACTTTTTCATGTGTCAGTTGGCCATTTGGATATCTTCTTTGGAAAAATACCTGTTCATGTCTTCTGCCCATTTCTTGATTGGATCATTTGTTCTTTGGGTGTTGAGTTTGATGAGTTCTTTATAGATTTTGGATACTAGCCCTTTATCTGATATGTCATTTGCAAATATCTTCTCCCATTCTGTCGGTTGTCTTTTGGTTTTGTTGACTGTTTCCTTTGCTGTGCAAAAGCTTTTTATCTTGATGAAGTCCCAATAGTTCATTTTTGCCCTTGCTTCCCTTGCCTTTGACAATGTTTCCAGGAAGAAGTTGCTGCAGCTGAGGTCGAAGAGGTTGCTGCCTGTGTTCTCCTTTAGGATTTTGAAGGACTCCTGTCTCACATTGAGGTCTTTCAACCATTTGGAGTCTATTTTTGTGTGTGGTGTAAGGAAATGGTCCAGTTTCATTCTTCTGCATGTGGCTATCCAATTTTCCCAACACCATTTGTTGAAGAGACTTTTTTTTTCCAATGGACATTCTTTACTGCTTTGTCAAAGATGAGTTGACCATAGAGTTGAGGGTCCATTTCTGGGCTCTCTATTCTGTTCCATTGATCTATGTGTCTGTTTTTGTGCCAGTACCGTACTGTCTTGATGATGACAGTTAGTTAATAGAGCTTGAAGTCCAGAATTGTGATGCCACCAGCTTAGCTTTTCTTTTTCAACATTCTTCTGGCTATTCGGGGTCTTTTCTGGCTCCATACAAATTTTAGGATTATTTGTTCCATTTCTTTGAAAATATTTGATGGTATTTTGATAGGGATTGCATTAAATGTGTAGATTGCTCTAGGTAGCATTGACATCTTCACAATATTTGTTCTTCCAATCCATGAGCATGGAACATTTTTCCATTTCTTTCTGTCTTCCTCAATTTTTTTCATGAGAATTTTATAGTTTTCTGAGTATAGATTCTTTGCCTCTTTGGTTAGATTGATTCCTAGGTATCCTATGGTTTTGGTTGCAATTGTAAATGGAATCGACTCTTTAATTTCTCTTTCTTCTGTCTTGTTGTTGGTGTATAGGAATGCCACTGATTTCTGTGCATTGATTTTATATCCCGCCACTTTACTGAATTCCTGTATGAGTTCTAGCAGTTTTGGGGTGGAGTCTTTTGGGTTTTCCATATAAAGTATCATTTCATCTGCAAAGAGCGAGAGTTTGACTTCTTCTTTGCCAATTCGGATGCCTTTTATTTCTTTTTGTTGTCTGATTGCTATGGTTAGGACTTCTAATACTATGTTGAATAGCAGTGGTGATAGTGGACATCCCTGCCGTGTTCCTGATCTTAGAGGGAAAGCTCTCGGTTTTTCCCCATTGAGAATGATATTCGCTGTGGGTTTTTCATAGATGGCTTTTATGATACTGAGGTATGTACCCTCTATGCCTATACTCTGAAGAGTTTTGATCAACAAAGGATGCTGTACTTTGTCAAATGCTTTTTCTGCATCTATTGAGAGGATCATATGGTTCTTGTTCTTTCTTTTATCAATGTATTGTATCATATTGATTGGTTTGTGGATGTTGAACCAACCTTGCAGCCCAGGGATAAATCCCACTTACTTGTGGTGAATAATCCTTTTAAGGTACTGTTGGATCCTATTGGCTAGTATTTTGGTGAGAATTTTTGCATCCATGTTCATCAGGGATATTGGTCTGTAATTCTCCTTTTTGATGGGGTCTTTGTCTGGTTTTGGGATCAAGGTAATGGTAGCCTCATAAAACGATTTTGGGAGTTTTCCTTCAATTTCTATTTTTTGGAACAGTTTCAGAAGAATAGGTATTAATTCTTCTTTAAATGTTTGGTAGAATTCCCCTGGGAAGCCATCTGGCCCTGGGCTTTTGTTTTTTGGGAGATTTTTGATGACTGCTTCAATTTCTTTAGTGGTTATAGGTCTGTTCAGGTTTTCTATTTCATCCTGGTTCAGTTTTGGTAGTTGATACATCTCGAAGAATGCCTCCATTTCTTCCAGGTTATCTAATTTGCTGGCATAGAGTTGCTCATAATATGTTCTTATAATTGTTTGTATTTCTTTGGTGTTGGTTGTGATCTCTCCTCTTTCATTCATGATTTTGTTGATTTGGGTCATTTCTCTTCTCTTTTTGATAAGTCTGGCCAGGGGTTTATCAATCTTGTTAATTCTTTCATTGATCTGTTCTACTGTTCTTTTAGTTTCTATTTCATTGATTTCTGCTCTGATCTTTATTATTTCTCTTCTCCTGCTGGGTTTAGGCTTTATTTGCTGTTCTTTCTCCAGCTCCTTTAGGTGTAGGGTTAGGTTGTGTACTTGAGACCTTTCTTGTTTCTTGAGAAAGGCTTGTATTGCTATATACTTTCCTCTTAGGACTGCCTTTGCTGCATCCCAAAGATTTTGAACAGTTGTGTTTTCATTTTCATTGGTTTCCATGAATTTTTTTAATTCTTCTTTAATTTCCTGGTGGACCCATTCATTCTTCAGTAGGATGGTCTTTAGCCTCCATGGATTTGAGTTCTTTCTGACTTTCCTCTTGTGATTGAGTTCTAGTTTCAAAGCATTGTGGTCTGAAAATAGGCAGGGAATGATCCCAATCTTTTGGTACTGGTTGAGACCTGATTTATGACCTAGGATGTGATCGATTCTGGAGAATGTTCCATGGGCACTAGAGAAGAATGTGTATTCTGTTGCTTTGGGATGGAATATTCTGAATATGTCTGTGAGGTCCTTTTGGTCCAGTGTGTCATTTAAAGTCTTTATTTCCTTGTTGATCTTTTGCTTAGATGATCTGTCCATTTCAGTGAGGGGGGTGTTAAAGTCCCCCACTATTATTGTATTGTTGTCAGTGTGTTTCTTTGCTTTTGTTATTAATTGGCTTATACAATTGGCTGCTCCCATGTTAGGGGCATAGATATTTACAATTGTTAGATCTTCTTGTTGGATAGACCCTTTAAGTAGGATATAGTGTCCTTCCTCATCTCTTATTATAGTCTTTGGTTTAAAATCTAATTTGTCTGATATAAGGATTGCCACCCCAGCTTTCTTTTGGTGTCCATTAGCATGGTAAATGGTTTTCCACCCCCTCACTTTCAATCTGGAGGTGTCTTTGCGTCTAAAATGAGTCTCTTGCAGACAGCATATCGATGGTTCTTGTTTTTTAATCCAATCTGATACCCTGTGTCTTTTGATTGGGGCATTTAGCCCATTTACATTCAGGGTAACTATTGAAAGATAGGAATTTAGTGCCATTGTATTGCCTGTAAGGTGACTGTTACTGTATATTGTCTGTGTTCCTTTCTGGTCTATGTTGCTTTTAGGCTCTCTCTTTGCTTAGAGGACCCCTTTCAAGATTTCCCGTAGGGCTGGTTTTGTGTTTGCAAATTCCTTTAGTTTTTGTTTGTCCTGGAAGCTTTTTATCTCTCCTTCAATTTTCAATGACAGCCTAGCTGGATATAGTATTCTTGGCTGCATATTTTTCTCATTTAGTGCTCTGAATATATCCTGCCAGTCCTTTCTGGCCTGCCAGGTCTCTGTGGATAGGTTTGTTGCCAGTCTAATGTTTCTACCATTGTAGGTTACAGACCTCTTGTCCCAAGCTGCTTTCAGGTTTTCCTCTTTGTCTTTGAGACCTGTAAGTTTTACTATTAGATGTCGGTGCATGTTTCCTTCCCCAGATTAGGGATGTTCTCTGCTATATTTTGCTCCAGTATACCTTCTGCCCCTCTCTTCTTCTTCTTCTTCTTCTTCTTCTTCTTCTGGGA